AAGTAGGGTGTAAGTGTGGGGAATAAGGGAAGAGAGAGAGAGAGAGAGAGTTTAAGGAGAAGTAGGGTGTAAGTGTGGGGAATAAGGGAAGAGGGAGAATACGGAGAGGTAGGGTGTAAGTGTGGGGAATAAGGGAAGAGAGAGAATACGGAGAGGTAGGGTGTAAGTGTGGGGAATAAGGGAAGAGAGAGAATAAGGAGAGGTGGGGTGTAAGTGTGGGGAATAAGGGAAGAGAGAGAATAAGGAGAGGTGGGGTGTAAGTGTGGGGAATAAGGGAAGAGAGAGAGTAAGGAGAGGTAGGGTGTAAGTGTGGGGAATAAGGGAAGAGAGAGAATAAGGAGAAGTAGGGTGTAAGTGTGGGGAATAAGGGAAGAGAGAGAGAGTAAGGAGAGGTAGGATGTAAGTGTGGGGAATAAGGAAAGAGAGAGAATAAGGAGAGGTAGGGTGTAAGTGTGGGGAATAAGGGAAGAGGGAGAATAAGGAGAGGTTGGGTGTAAGTGTGGGGAATAAGGCGATAGTGTACGTCTATAAGGTGAAGCACGAGTGTAAGCACGGGCGTGTGCGTGTGACATGAGGGAGACAACATACGTACGTTCACAGGAGCTTTACGTGTCGCGTGATGCGTGGAAGGTGTCAGTCCTCCGTGGTTAGGAAGCCATTCGTAGATGCAGCGGGAGGCTGCGAGCGCCCGCATCCCCCTACACCGGCAGAAGGCAGGCGCGCACCGCCACGCACCATGCATGCACGCCTAGCTGCTGATTTCATTCAGCCGCGACGCACGTACTGTAAACATGCTGCGGCGCAGACGAAGAGGCGGAGAAGGAGAAGGATGATGATGATGGGGATGAAAGTGAGGGAAAGGGGGAAGTCGAGGAAAAAAATATGACGACGATGAATAGGACGACGACGACGACGCTGGCCACGACGACGACGACGACGACGACCCTGCCGCTGCCGCTGACGACGGCGATACGACGACGACGATGACGACGACGACGATGCTGCCGACGACGACGACGACGACGACAACGACGATTACGCTGCCGACGACGACGATGCTGCCGACGACGATAACGACGCTGCCGACGACAACGACGGTTACGCTGCCGACGACGACGATGCTGCCGACGACGACAACGACGCTGCCGACGACAACGACGGTTACGCTGCCGACGACGACGATGCTGCCGACGACGACAACGACGATTACGCTGCCGACGACGACGACGCTGCCGACGACGACGACGCTGCCGACGACCGACGACGACGACGGCGACGCTGACGACGACGCATTTATTTGCATCATGTACGTCAGCATGTCGAGTTACATTAATGTCTTTCCTCTTGCTTTGCCGAACACGCCATTCTTCGCTCACCTCGCCCTAAAACTATACAAAATCGACCTCCTCCCTATCATAGACCCCCCCTATCATAGACCCCCCCATCGGCGTGCGTGCTCTATGTAAGTGTGTGTGTGTACGCGCGCGCGCGCCGGTGGTGGTGGATTAACGCGCAGTAAGGCTTTCCGTGGGGAAGGAGAGGGCACCCCCCTCCGCTTCAACGCTGCTTCGTAAAAATAGCAAACTATTCGGCCGTTTATTTCTGTCAGATGTTTACGAATACTCGATCGTTCATGATGGGATGTAAATGGTACAGAGGTGAGGGAAGGAGGAGGAGAGGAGGTACAGAGGTGAGCCGGGTATCACGGGCAACACGCTGAGTGGTGAGAGCAGGGAAGGAGGAGGAGAGGAGGTACAGAGGTGAGCCGGGTATCACGGGCAGAACGCTGAGTGGTGAGAGCAGGGANTGTGTGTGTGTGTGTGTGTGTGTGTGTGTGTGTGTGTGTGTGTGTGTGTGTGTGTGTGTGTGTGTGTGGTGGTGTGTGTGTGGTGTGTGTGTGTGTGTGTGTGTGTGTGTGTGTGTGTGTGTGTGTGTGTGTGTATGTGTGCGTGTGTGTCTGTGTGTGTGTGTGTGCGTGCGGGTGTAGTGTAGACCTACTTGTGTGTGGAGAGGCACGGATTCTTGTCGCGCGTGTCTCCGCGTGTTTGCGGTAGCTCGAGGGCTGTTGTGCAAATGTTCTTCTCGCGGCCCTCGTGTTCTCTGCCTCCGCTCGGCGGCTGCCGATGTGTGCAAAGAGGCTGCGCGCCACGTGACGGCACCGCTGCAGCATCGCTCACCTTCCCTTCTCTCCTGTTTACATCTCCCGCATCGGCTGAGTGCTAACTCACGAGAGAGGAGGGGGAGGGATGAGCGCGGGAGCGAGGGAGAGAAGTGACGGGTGGGAGGGACGGGAGTAGTGGGAAGGAGTATGAGTGAAGGATTGAGGGAAGGAGTACGGGTGAAGGATTGAGGGAAGGAGTACGGGTGAAGGATTGAGGGAAGGAGTATGGGTGAAGGATTGAGGGAAGGAGTATGGGTGAAGGATTGAGAAAACGAGTATGGGTGAAGGATTGAGGGAAGGAGTACGGGTGGAAATGAGACGTGGATGGAGGGAATGTGTGTAGGAAATATAGATGGGTATATAGATGCGTGCGTGCGTGTATGTGCGCGTGCGGGCCTGTGGA